AATATAGAATATTTCCACTACAGTAAAAAAAAGAAAGAAAGAAAGAAAGAAAGAAAGAAAACAAAAAGAAAAAACTATCACCATCACCACCACCACCAACAACAACAACAACAACAACAACAAAATAAAACCTTCTATAATCATTCGATGTGCACCCAGGAACACAGAATATTGTTACCACCTGTATCCCTGATAGTCAAAAAGCAGCCAGATTTGAGTGAAGATTAGAGGAAAGCAAAGAAATCTACAGCAAAGAGTTCAAGCTACAGTGAACGCAGCCCTGTCAGATGAGGCATATGTTCCAACAAACTCTATAGTGATAGAGGTATTGATGCTATGCAAATGTCCATAGAGTTAATAGAAAATTCCCATAGGAGAATCACAATAAATCTTGGGATTCAAGAGCAGAAGTATGCCAATCTGCATTAGACATTGGAGTTGGGATGCAAAGTGAGAACGGTACCTGAGAACAGGGCCATCCTCTCTGACGCCAGAGAATTAGATGTGGTTTGAAAACAACTCCTGCCGTGCCACCAGGATCCCAGAGAGCTGGAATGCCTTTTGGTCCCCTCATGTCCATTCCAAAGTATACCACTTCCATGTTCTGATAGCTGAGCTCATTTTGTATTCTATTTTCATTTGTCTGACAAAACATAATTCATGTTGGGCAGAGCCAGATGTGTGGTCACTTGGTGATTCCTGGAGAGGCATTCCCTTCTGCTGGGCACTGAGGTAGTTCCATGACTACGCATCTGGCTCACATCCTACAACGTGTTCATCAGCTCCACAGGCTAGCTGGTGCTGGGTAAGCTGACTGAAGTCTGTGAGAAACTGCATCTCAGAAGCAACACTCTGAAAAAACAAAATCCCAGCCCCTAGATGTAGTATAGACATGAAATAAAACACTCTATGGGGCACCGGAATCCCAGGAGAAAGACTACATTGGTGAGGGACAGAGAAGTTGAAGGATGAATGATTCCACTTGTCATTACTGTCCCTCACACACTTAGAAAAGGTGTGTTTGCTTTGACCACAGCTTTGCCCTCTACAGAGATAGAAGTCTGGCTCCTAGAGAAGGGAAATTCCTTCCGGGGGGGGGACTAGCAAAATCTCCATTGAATAGTAAGCTGATGCCTGAACACTTTGGGCTCCTTGGACCAATGATCCAGCATGCAAAACAAAGAGACAGCATCTTAGTCCAGTTATTGTTCCTGATGGTGAGAATAAGGTAACACTCTTGTTGCCCAACAAGGGCAAGGAAGAATATGAATGACCCATCAGTCTTTGTTTTTGGTCCTCCCTTACCCAATTATGGCTAAAAATAAACATAAATAATAACTTCCTTCCTGGGAAGGACATGCTTTTCAAGTCATAGCTCTATAATCTAATTTAAACCACTAGTTAAACCATTTAGTCTAGTTGACCTAGGCCCTGAAGGTGAGAAAGAATCTAGAACAGTTGAATAGTTAGACAATGTCCATTTGTAGCCCCAAACCTAGTGCTTCCCTTTTAAGTTTTCCATCAAGATGAAGTTCTGTTGCTCTAGAGACTCTAAAAGATAAGGACAGCCAGGAAGACTGAGTGCAGTAGACCAGGGGTGAGTCACTAAGATTTCCCCTTCAAATCCTTCAAGAAAGGATTTGCTGCCCAGCTTTGGAGAGTGTAGGATGGGAATCCTTTTAGTCTAGAGAGCTTTTCACAAGATTGTGCCCTTCCTTGGAGTAACCTACTTCCAGTTACAGGATGAAACAGATGTGCAATAGACTGACTATTTCAGCCCAAATGAGCAATTCTAGTGGACAATACTCACTCTGAAGCTCCTCCCCCCCCCGGGGGGAGGGGGGGAGTGGTTGAGGGTTTCTCAAACCTGCTTCACTTAAACATCTCTCTTTCTCCCACTCATACTTTTTCTTCTTTTCCTTCCCTGGTATTAGCCTCTAGTAAATATTTCACACTCTCATCTCCATGTTGGTATCTGCTTCTAAAACCAAACTTACAATTCTCTCTCTCTCTCTCTCTCTCTCTCTCTCTCTCTCTCTCTCTCTCTCTCTTTCATGTGTGCGTGTGTGCATGTGAGAGCAGGACTCAGGCTTATGGTACAAGCAAAGCTGAATATAATATAGGAAACTATTCCCCTCCCTCCTCTCAAACAGTATCCTTTGAAATTATTCCCAAGATAGCGTTCATGAGTCCAGAAACCACTTCTCCATGGCCAATGACTATCCCAGAGTACAGGAGCATCAGTGCCAGTGGCAGTCACATCCATGTCACTGAAGACATGTTAATAGTGGTCAAGTAACATGGAGTGACCCATGTGGCAACAAGAGTCAAGGAAGCCAAGAAGATGGGGCCACTTGGCTGACTTTTATCATGGCAGGGCAATGGCCCAGACTGACTCCTGAGATTAAATCAATCTATGAGTTTTTTAAACTACTTCAGTTAAAGTTCTGAGACAAAAGATTGGCTAGGCAGACAGATGATGAGACAGATGAAAAGTAGATGTTGTAGTGTTTTAGAGACCAGACAAGTTTATCTTGAATATTTAAAAATTAATGCTAACTGGTGATAGAAAACACATGGGCAGATTATAGACTAGCATACTTAGTATATACCCACTACTACTGACTATGTGTCAATATGTTCATAGGGGGAAGATTGGATGGACAAAATGACATCAGCAGCTATTATGTCAGGACAGTGGGATTACAGGTAATTTTACTGTTTTCTTTATTTGTATTGTCTCAGTTTTCCATGCTGACATTGTGTTTTAGGAACAAGGGGGAAGTTATTACTTGATGTTATGGGATATTTTGATCATACTCTAACGCTACCAAGCCTGACAATAAAGTTTACCTCAAATCAGAGGGGGGAGCTAGCAACTAGCTGACCAAAATTAGCCATCAAGGTTTGGGGGAACCAAGGACATATAGAGAGGCACAGGAAGTAGTGGCAGGGTGGGGATTAGAAAGATTCTCAGCCCTTTTTGGATTGAGGAAGGAAAGAGAGGAGGTCACTAGCCACCTCTCTGCAGTTTCTCTAATCATTCAGGTTCTACCCTGATATCTGACTCCCGAATTTTTATTGATAAAGAATAATCAGATAAATGCTTCAGCTTGAAATTTACTAAAGCAGCAACTCTATTTTCCCTCAACAGCTTTCTTGTAAGAGTAGCATGCATTTTTATCTAATAAATACACACACTTCCTTGCTTTCATTTAAGATAATTAGAATAGGTCTACAGAGGCTATTTCAGACGTCAGTTGACAAAGTGGTGCAGAAAGGCAGGAAGGCAGGCTCAAAGCATTGTAATTGCTCTCGTCACCTGGATTACAGAAAGGGGACATCTCTTTGGGATTTGGACTTCTGAAGGAAAGATGGTGTAGCCACAGGCTCAGGTGTTTCTCCCATAAGCACTGTGCAGAGAGGATAGTACTCAGAATGGTGGGTTAATAAATATGGTGTCACACTCATGCTGTGCATTCTTCCAAACCAATGGTCAACCCCTCCTACAAGATCACTAATAGCTTGCTTTGCAGCATTAGCTCAAACATCTAAAACAAAGAAGTAAGCCCTACTGAGAAGTCACAATTAGGGGTGTGTGTGTGTGTGTGTGTGTGTGTGTGTGTGTGTGTGTGTGTGTGTAGTTTTATATAATAAATGTGTGTGCATGTGCTGTAACTACCCATCTGAAACTAAATCCTCCCAGACACAGTTCACTTTTGTTCTACTGTCACATATGCTCTTAGCTCTACCCTAAAGACCCTGTCCCATTTCTCCACGTCACCAGCTCAGCCTAGGATAGTGAAGATCATGCAGCCGCTACTCATTAAATACCCACAGGGTAACTACTACAGGAATAACAGGTGCCCCAGTGATTTTCTCTAAAACTGTAGGTCCCTTGGAAAGCGTCTGCTTTGATCAGCCTGTCTATTCAAGTTCTGATCCCTCCCTTTGACTGTGACCCTGTGCTATCTTGGACAGTTGGTTTCTGTCAATTCCCTTCTGCTAATTATCTCAGAGTCCACATTTAAGGTCGTCTATTTCAAGTGCCCTGTTTGCACGTCAACATTCTATGTACAGCCACAGTCTCCTGTTAACCCCTTAAATCAGATTTGACAGGAAAAGGCATTTTTAGATTTAAAAGTAAAAGAGTAGCTCAATGCAATGAACGCTCAGTAATGTGAACTAAGTAAGGAAGGTCACTCTGACAGTGACAAGTACAGATTACAGAAAGATTTTTCTCATTTTTTTTCTATTGTTCTCAAGTATTAGAGCATTCTGACCAAACCAAAAGTGAACCTTTTT